TTTTTTGCTCCTCTCTATTGGAGTTTGATTGAATTGGAGATAATTTTTTTATGGAGTTTAACTACACTTCGTGAAAAGAAAAAATAAAAACAAAAAGTAAGTATACTGAATTTCCAACTGTTTGCAAATATGTTAATTTCTTTTAATTTGTTAATTTTAACTAAATGCTGGCACTATTAACATGATATAATTCTTATATATTACCCAAATATTTGAATATAACCTTTTATGCATTAGCTAATAAACCTGTGACCTTTTTTTTATGCATCTAGATGCGCATGCTGAGTAAAGTCACCAATTGATTGATTCCCGTTTTATTCAAGCACGTGTATTATGTGGTCTAATGTAGTTATAAAACACAAGTGAATTAAACAATATTTGGGTGAAAAAAGAAAAGAAAAGAAAATAATATCTCCTTATATTCTTAAACAATATGCAACATATTCTAAATCAAATATCTTTGTAGACCACTTCGATCGAAATTAAAATGAATTTTTGTAAATTGAAATTGATTTAAGTTCTGCAGCCTTGGGCTTAAATAATTAGTGCTAGTTGGAAATTTGCAGATGGACATGAGGTCAAAATTTATACTAACCGAGTGGATTTTACTATTTTAGTTGACCAAAGCATGTTGAATAACAAAAGAAATATTAGGTCACTCGGTGTTCTAAATAATAATAATAATAATAATAATAATAATAATAATAATAATAATAATAATAATAATGATGTAGCTCCTCTCATGCCATAACTAATAAATAGAATACATTAAACAAATTGCATGACATGATGGATATAGCAAGCTATACGAAAAACGAATTTGAACATTGAATTATTTACGTTGATTTTAGCTTTCGTGATGTGCGAAAAACGCATCGTTGAACAAATCGATCCCCAGTACTATTAAGTATTAACTACTCCACTTGTAGTACAATATGTTATTGTATTCAAAGCTCCCCACTTGTAAAGCTCTCCATTAATTCCATTTAGAATAATGGAATTAGGTCAAACAATCTCATGATTTTTCTTCTAGAAGCTTAGGATAAATCGTGTGCCGTAAAGTTGGAGCCTACGTAAGCAAACCTTCTAGAAGCACACAACGCCATGTCTAAAAACCCGACAGCAGATCACACATTTTTCAATTGACGCTTTGTTAAATAAATGTTTCTTAAATAGCGAAAATTTATAATTATTACAATCGTATTATTATTATTTTAATCGAGACTTCCTAAACGCCGTTGTTTAAGCTTTTTCGAAATTAATGTTTTAAATCCAAAAAAATTGTCAACTTGTCAAATAAATGTGAATAACGGAAATTTATAGCACTATATGCTTTTTTTTTTTTTTTNTTTTTATAATTAGTATTATGGATAAAAAAAAATAATCAAATAAGTTTTTAATATTGGCTAATAAATATGATTTATCATTTCACAAAGTCAAATCCACTAGTTTAGCACATAATGATAAACAACAAACAACAGCCTACCTTTTCCTTTCAAATTTTCCACCTAAAAATTTCATAATTATACATAATACATATATTCTTTGTATGTATGTCTCCATATACCTGTAAATTCTACTTCTGCTTGTCTTCGCGAGCTGCAATTTTGTCACCGGCAATGGCGGAGGAGATGAGGCCGCTGTTCGACGCGTCGGCATACGTGCTGTTCGAGGCGATCGGTGATTCCGAGGCGGAGGATTTCAACGGCGTCGGCTCCGTCGCGGCGGCGGAGGACGACGCGCAGTCGTGCAGCGGCGGATCCGCGTCCGGCGGCGCGAGGGGGGAGGTTGCCGGGGCGGACGGCGGCGGCGTAGATCCCCGCCCCGCGGACGTTTGCGATCGGGTTAGGGAGGAGGAGGAGGAGGGGAGCGATCTGGAGGACGGCGTCGTGGATCAGCGCCGCGGCGGAGGTACGGCGTCGCCGGCGGCGGAAGGTGTGAAGATGATGATGGGCGAGAGGGAAGGGGATAGGTTGTTTTGGGAGGCGTGTTTGGCATCTCGTGATTAATGGAGATCTGGAAAAAAAGAAAGAAAATTAAATGTTAATTTTCCGAAATTCTAAGGAATTACTAATTCTTATTGATTTTTTTAGGTAATTTATTTTTTACTTTTTTTTAGTTGCTGCGTTTGGGAGAATAAAATACCTTTTTTTCTTTATTTACTCCTTTTTTTTTCTTATTAGTTAAAAATGTTTACGTGTTTATATAGTTTTTCATAGTAGTTAACTATGAGTTGCAACTGTATTTAGAAAAGGGGAAAATTCTCTATAGTTCGTTATTTTATTTTTTATTTGTACGAATTTCCCTCGGACTCTTTCTTTTTTTGGAAATAATGTGTATTGGTTTGAGTTAAGCTTATTTATCAATATTAAAAAATTGAATTTGAACCTCACGAGCCCGATTATAAAAATAGAATCAAATTTTTTTATTCGAGCTTTAAACGAGTTCGAGATTTAAACGGCAAGCTCACAAGCGGCTCGTTTAGTTTATCATTCATCTATATATTTGTGTGGTTAATTCCTGGGTTTCTTGATTAGAATGTTTTAAAAATAAAACATAAAACATGATTATATTATACATGTGTTAATTTAATGTCTTATCTAGTTAATTTTCTAATTCGAACTAAATTGTAATTTCAGCTAGTAATCATATATAAATATTTAAACAAATCAGGACAACAAAACCTATCATCTTAAACGTATATCCACTACAAGAAAATGATGAAATTTCAACGAAAATATATTCAAATAGAACTCCAATGGATATTTTTTAATGTTATTATTTCTGTTGAAATTTTTCAATGGATTTCAATAGAAATTCCATCAAAATATTCCGTTGGAATGAGTTTTCTATTGAAATTTCCGTTGGATTTTGACGATTCCAACGGTATATTTTTCAACGGGGGTGGAAATAATAATTCCAACGAAAATTCATACGGTAAAAACCGTTAGAAATATAGCTGTTGAAATCATAAAATTCCAATGAAAATTTCTATTGGAATATCCGTTGGAATTTCCATTGAAAAATATTACCATAAGATTTTGGTATGAAAAATCTTTAAAAAATCACTTAATTTATGCCATGTTGGAACTGATAGATATAAGTAAGAAAGCTACATCATATGACACATCAGATTGTGGCATGACTTATGGTACCCTAATGGGCACCATGAAATTTCTGCTACTCTAGGGGTCCTTAATATTAGAGAAAAAAAAAGTGTGAAAAATACTTTCCATTTATGGAAAGGCATTTTTTGAAAGACCCACTATTAGACTTACTAAAAATGGAATGAGTTGTCTAATTAAATAGTAAATAGATAATTTATTATTTTAAATTTGAGATTTATTTATAATTTTTTAATTTCAACATTAGTTCAATTCTCGGTATATTTATTTAAGTGGAGACACAAGTTTTAATTTTTTCTTCATATTTATTCTATTTTTATATTTAACCTTTGCGCNTTTGTCTACTGGATGGTATCCCCACATTCACTCCGGGGCCTCACCACTACCCTATGTCCCTACGCCAAGAGGACCTCACCAACCGGTGGCCGGCTAACCACAGCTACGGGCTCGACTCAGGTTCAGGATCCACGCCCAGAGGCGTGGGACTAATCCACCTAGGAGAAACAGAGAGCCCCAACCCCATTTCTCACGATAGCCAGGTTCGATCCCACAACCTCCCACCTTCAACAGGAACTTCCCCCTCCAGTGGTTGCCATTGGACTACATGCCCTGGGGGCTGTATACTCCGTATACTTACTAAAGTGGAGACACAAGTTTTAATTTTTTCCTCATATTTATTCTATTTTTATATTTAACCTTTGCGCTTTTTTTTTCTTAAGACTATAGAATAAAAAAATAAATAAATTAAGAGAATGTATATCTAAATATAAATAGATATAAAATGCCTACTTACCAAAACTACATATAAATTATTTATGTCAAATATCAAACCTGATCTTAAAAGCAATCTATACTTATATAATAAGAATTAACCTTTTTCAAAATTAGTAGGTCAATTCTTAGTCAACATCCTGTCTGCATTAAATGTTTACTAAAATTAGTAGCTTTTATGTCATTTTCACACTTTTTTTTATGTCCTTTTCACACTAAATTATATAAATGAACGGATATTATCTCACCTTTCATTAATCTCACTTATAATTCATGTGAATTGATTGATTGCCTTTAACTTTTCAAAACGTGTGTTATCCATTGTTTATTACTATTATTATAGTATGCACGTAATCAGTTGATTAAATAAATTATATATTATTATTATTATACTCACCACGTAACAGTTAATTAAAATATATCTATACTTATATTAAAAGGTATACCATTTACCAGATTTAATATAAAGAAAAGTCAACAACATTTATTGCATTACTATTTCCGTATTATACAATCTATACTTATATAAAAAGAGATTCTATTTACTATATTTACTATCCAGAAAAGTCAACTGCATTAAATGTCATTACTATTTTGGTATTATAATATTTTATTTATTTAATTGTTTTATTTATTTGTTTATTTTAATAAGGTAAGTATAATAAAAAGATTTTAATAATAAAAAAATTAAATACCAAATAAAAATGTACACTTTGACTTATTTGATTATATTTGGTATTTAATTATACCAAATATATTCCTATTTAGTATATACATTAAATACTTACTAAAGTATTTGTTTGTTTTATTTATCAAAGTTAAGTATAGATTTGTTTATATTATCAAATCATAAAAAAATATTAAATCCATATTGTAAAAAAAAAAACATATAATTTTATAACAATTCTACTACACTATTTAACAATATTTTTTTTATTATATAATAAAATAATAATTAAATATTATATGGTGAACAACAATAAGTAAAACTGTTACTTTCTCTTATATCAAGGGATAAATTTATATGCTAAAATTAAATTTTTATTAGTATAAATGTTTTAGTGAGATAATATATTAATTATTTTACAAGCTAGCCCTAACATGCTCATATTTAATGTTTTAAAAGATGTAGAAAAAAAACTTATAATAACTCTATTGTTTTTTAGACTTAAACGTTGATTAAAAGAGGTAAAAATTCCTAATTTTTTAGACTTAAACGTTGATTAACACCATAGATTGAGAGTTTATATTTAGTAAAATTCCTAATTGTAATAAAAAAATTAATTTTTGCTATATTTTAGAATATCTTTAAATTCATTATAAAAAAAAAAAAAAAAAAAAACTACAATGAAAAAAGCAAGTCAGCTATATATCGATTTGTTGTACTCCTCAAATCACATTCACAATTTAGCTACAAGGAAAGGAAACTCATTGATTAAAATATTATTTTGTCAGTAGTCTTAATGTACAAGAGACTTTAAGACTCCACTTGAATATTATACGACTTTTATGGAACATTGTATAATTTTCTTGCGTATTATAAACTTTTATCGAATATTGCATCTTATAATATAATATTCTCTAAATAAATATATCTCGTGCTTTGCACGGGTCACGTACTATATATATTCCGTACATCTTTCTTTATTCATGTATATAATTATAAGCCTGAATAAATAGCCTTAAAAATGTACATCCCGTGCATCGCACGGGCTCTGTACTAGTAATATTTATACGAACAAAAATACGAAGAACAAAATTTTACCATTTCATCATTCGAAGGCTCGTAGTAAACATGCATACGTGTAGTTCATCTAAGTGATCAGTTTTTTACCAGTCTAAGAAACAAACTATGCGTAATGTTAAGGAACAAACTATGCATAAATAATATCCGACTTTTGCTCAAACCGAGGGGGAATATTAAACATGCATACATGTAGTTCATCTTTCAGTCTTTGACAAAGGGTCCATGCAAGCATAAACAAGAAGACTAGAATCCAACTGACATGGTATCTCGATAGAAATTAAAATTTGTAATTTTGTTTTGGCTTTCTTGCTCATAGCTTTCTTGTTGTGAATCCTTGGCACATGCCATACTTCTATAGCTCAAATAGTCTCACCAAGTTTGTTTGGAATTAATATATAAGGGATTCTAGAATTTCTGCTTCAATCCTATATACACAACATCAATTATTAGAAATAGTATGTCATAGACTTATGAAGAAAACACAAAACAAATTACCCCTTCAAATTCAAATGACCATGAAGAAAGCAAACAAAGATTGTTCCCAAGTTTATCCCGCGCCATGGAATAAATAGTCATAAGATGCTCATTTGAGCATCTCTCTCACTAGGTCTTTCCGATTGGCTGAGAATGGGTATGGCCAATCATTGAAAGCATACCGAAAGTTACGCCAAGGATGATAAATGTTTTTCGGGCAGCAGGGACATCCACGATCTGTATGTGTACCAAAACAAAATGTGCTAACTAATTAAAACCATCCACAACAAACGACGTGATTAATAAATCAAATTGAAGACAAATAGAACGAGCTTGCGAAACTGGTATTTAATCATCAACCAATGATTTACAGAAACATTTCTTACCTATGTCCACCTCCTCCTTCTGCATCCAATTCTGCATCCAAGTGGCCTCAGCCGGTGATAATGTAGCAAGCACATACTTATCATCACTGCCATCCTCTAAATAGAGTTCGGCAAAAAAAAGGAGCACTTCTTCCTTGGGGCCCACCCTTGCCTCAAAGTTCAAATGCACCCAACGTGTCCTCTTTTCGGTGAAGTCCATCAATACACCTGTGCTCGTAAAACCATTGCCTTCAATAGCCCTTTCAAACTTCAAGCTTATTTCCTCCGTCTTTTGTTTTTCAATAAAATAAAAACAAAATGATAGATTAGGAAAGAACCAGAGGTAAAAAGACGAAAAGAATAGAAAAAGGTTTGAGATGAAATCAAATACTTGTTTCGCAATATAATCCTGTAAAGCGAATTCAGCCAATTTAGCAGCAGCATCTGCAGGCAGTAACTTAGGATTGCTATCCACTCTGAATTGTGAAAAATCAAATTTAGTTATCACTTGCTCATTTTTACATAGCCAAAGATAAAAATATATATTAGAGGACAGAGAGAAGAGATTACGTAGCGTCAAAACCAGCACGAAATCCACGTCGCGGGTGATTTATGGAAGAAAGACATTGCGGACAACCATACTCTGTATCAATCCATAAAATTAAAAAATGTTGATAGTAATAACAATACAACAATAATTTCAACAATACAACAATCATTTCAAACAAAGTGAGTGGAGCCTTTTTTTCTGCCTCACACAAACTAGAAAGGGAACACAGTACTAAACTGTTACAGTTAATAAAACAGGATATTACATGAGAATTTGTAATATTCTAAGATATGCAACTAAGTACAAAGATGTTTCTCTATCAGCGATTACACCAAAAATGACAAATGAAAGAAAATCAAGTCAGAAAGAGAAAGAGTTACATCTGGCACAGGCTAACCGAATAAAAAAAGAAAGCAATAGGCCAACGAGAGGAACCACCAAACATATCACTTAAACAGATAGATAAGATAAATTGCTGTGATGTGCAAACAATCATTGAAAAAGTAAAATTTACTTCAACATAATTAGAAAAGCATAATACCTCCATCTGTAGGTCCCACGAGTGATAATGTAGTGAGCTCAAACCCTTCTATACTTGAACGTACTTCGGCAAACAAAAGAAGTGGTTCGTCGTTGGGACCAGCATCCGGTCGCCTGGCCTCAAAGTTTAAATGCCTCCAAAAATCATGCATCTCTATAAAGCACCTTCCAAACCCACTTCCCTCCAAATCTGTTGCGTTCCCGGCCAGACACCTCACAAACTCCAAACAAGTTCCCTGTTAGAAATTCCGAATTAAACATACAAAAGCACTGCATCATATTACGAATGACCACAAGATAAAAAAAAAAAAAAGTAAAATTTATATGGATAAGATAGAACATTAACATGTTTGTTGTTGTAGTGTTGCAATGCACATTGGGCTACATTCTCGTTCGAATATTTGACCAGAAGAGGGCCCATAAGAGGGTCATCCGGGTCTACAGGAGCTGACATCTCGTCCATATCCCATAACTCTCTGACATTAATCATCCTGCGCTTACTACAGGAAACAAATGATCATGTCATTTATAGTAATATACACTTCTGCAGAGGATAACAACTGATTAGAAAAAAGAAAAGATTTGTCACTTACAAATCTTCCATTTCCAGTCTGAGAGTTTCCTGTGAATATTTAAGAAATATACAGATAATTGAATTAAATTATGAATTATTATAAAAAAGAAAAGAGATAACTGATTAATCACTGATAAATAATTTATAAGGTGCAAATTGATTACATATTCTCGTTATTATTTAGCCAAATGAAGAATATTACATTAAACCGACGTGCAACAATTTCGATGGACAATATGAATTTTCAAAAATATATAAAAGAAAAAACATTGATTTGCTATGAGTGAATTTATGTTGGACAATTGACCAAGACTTTTTTATTGGGGGGTATGTATTATATTATACATTAATCATTTATATGTCTTTTGTTATTTAATTGATTTTGTATTTTGTTTGTAATAAAAAATATTACTGTATAATTCTTACAGCTTGATTGTTTGGCTGAGGCACAACGTTATCCGAACGAGACTGTGCCAGCGTTATCGGAGTCGACTTAGTTGAGGTCTTCGCCGCCTTGGCCGGCTGCTTCTTCTTAGCCTTCTTGCTTTCGGGCGCCTTCCTCTTTGTCACGGCCTTGGCCTTCGCAGCCGGCTTAGCTTTGGGTTTCGCTTTCGGCTTGGGTTTGGAGACAGCTGCCTTCATCTCCTTGGCGCCGGCAGCTTTTAGTGCGGAAACAGAAACAGACTTCATATTCTTCTTCGCCGGCGAGGATGGCTTGGCCGGGCGAGCGGTCGGAAGCTTGAAGGAGCTCTTTACCTTCACGAGTTTGTCGTTGGCCACGAGCTTCTTCAGCTGGAGGAGCAGGACTTTCCTGAAATTGGCCGGCAGGTTCTTCTGTTTGTCCTCGATGAACTTCGCGATGGCGGGCTGGCTGGAACCCGTCCGGTCCTTCAGCGTCACGATCGCATCCTTAATCATCTGCAGAATCCACCGGAAAATTTCAGATCCAACCTCAAGAAATCAAAAAATCCGAAAAAAAAAAAGAAGAGGTACAAAATCACAGATTTAATCGCGGATTGATCAATCAATACCTCGAAGTACGGAGGGTGTGTGGGGGTGGTGCGCTTCTTCCGAGCAGGCTCGATCGGGACAACTTGCTCTTCAACGGTGGCCATGGAGGAATTCACTGAGAAATTAGGGTTAGCGATTGTTTTTTTTTTTTGTTTTTTATTTTTTATTTTTAGGAATTTGGGTGAAATATAACCAACGGAAAACGTGGGTGGATTTAAATTGCTGAGATTCAGAGCATCTCGTAACCTAAAAAATCTGATTTTATTCACAGAGTTACCAAAGATATAAGCTACGAACACGAAAACGGCAAAAATGGAGGAAAGTAGAATATCACAGAAAAATGAAACAAGACGCGTGAGGGACGCGCCCCTCTTCTTCTCCCCTCAATCAAAAAACCAGTCGTCTTCTCCAATTTTCGCCGCCCCTCCTACACCTACAAGCTCGCCGCCGCACTGCTGGAATAGGAGCTCGTTGATTCGGGGCTGAGGACATTTCCGTCTCCTCCGGGCTTTGTGGGAGATTGGGTTGGACAGCTCTCGCCCCCGCTGGGTCCGAGTTGCTTCTCCACCTAGCCATCCCCAGCCATGGACGAGACCGCCGGCAGCAAGAGTTCAGGCCCAAGCCTCGAGGAGGTACCGACCATTGTTCCGCCGAGAGTTTTGTTGTTCATGTTTTGGGTCCTTTGGTGCGGCGTGCCGACCGTTCGATCCCTCTTTCGAGCACTCCGGCGAGGACGAGTTAGTGTTCTCACGGAGGCTTCTTCTCCTCTCCAAGCGTTGATGGTGTTTCGGAGTCCAGATCTGAACTGAGAGCAGTCTCTTCTTCAGATCCGTCTAGGCGGCACGAGTAGCCGCAGTTTTCGGGCTTGAGGTTCCGGTTTGTGGTTTTGTTGGATCTCTTTGCTTGTGGATGTGGATCGTGTGCGGTCCTGGGTGGTTAGGCATCGAGTTTGTTAGGTGTAGGGGAGGTTCTAATTTATTTGTATATTAGGTGTGTGTTTTTTGTTTATGTTTCTGTGTGTTAGTCCAACTTGTCTGATTTATCTCCTTTATGGAGTTTAGTTTCCCTTTGTGGAATTTCGTTTTGGGTTGCGGTTGCCTCCTTATTGGAGTTCTACCTCTTGAATTCCTCCGGAAGTTCAAGAGGGTAAGCCCAGTTATCTGGTTCTTTGGTGTCAGTTGATATCGCCTCTGTACTCTTTTTGAGTTTTCTAGTAATATATTTGTTTGCTGTTTGAAAAAGAAAAAAAAAAAGAAAAAAGAAAAAAAAAAAGAAGAGAATATAACATTAATTGGAATCCCGAAATTACTTATAAACAGGCTTCATCAGCAAACAAAATTAAATAGGCCATTAACCAGAGGTTATACAACAATCAAAACCCACTCAAGCCATCTAGCAACCTAACAACCCTAAAATTTTCAGGGAAGAAAGATCGAAATCGTAATAAAAAAAAATTAAAACCCACTCAATTCTATTACACTATAATTGACTGAAATTGTACTAATTTGACTTCAATTGGACTAATTTGACTTCAACTGGACTAATTCGAGTTCGATTACACTATAATTGACTGAGATTGTACTAATTCGACTTCAATTGGACTAATTCGAATTCGATTACACTATAATTGACTGAGATTGTACTAATTCGACTTCAATTGGACTAATTCGAGTTCGATTACACTATAATTGACTGAGATTGTACTAATTCGACTTCAATTGGACTAATTCGAGTTCGATTACATTATAATTGACCGTGATTGTACTAATTTGACTTCAATTAGACTAATTCGAGGTCGATTACACTATAATTGACCGAGATTGTACTAATTTCACTTCAATTGGACTAATTCGAGGTCGGTTACACTATAATTGATCGAGATTGTACTAATTTGACTTCATTTGGACTAATTTGAGGTCGATTATACTGTAGTTGACCGAAATTGTACTAATTTGACTTCATTTGGACTAATTCGAGGTCGATTACACTATAATTGACCAGAATTGTACTAATTTTACTTCAATTGGACTAATTCGAGGTCGATTACACTATAATTTCATGCTGCACGAAAATTTCACAGTTTTATGCGTATAGCTATCTTTCATACTATTTCAAACAATAAAGGTGAGTACTGTAGCTACGATAATTTCTCAAATAAAATTGCCTCGCGAACCTTCCTCTGCAAAACCCTTCTTCGCCGTCGACTTCTCTCCTTTGATTTGACGCCGTCCGCCTTCCTACGCAGGCATCGCGCTTCACCGGCGGTTGCTGGTCCCCAATAGCTTGGATCTCGCCCCTTTTTTTCTGCTCCACCGCTCACTTTCCATGGCATATGTTGTCTGGCACGGCTGGGCTTCCTCCTTCCGGTGCCGATTCATCAATTCCGGCTTGGGACAGCTCTGCCGTGTGGTGGTGGAGTCGTTGTGCGGTTCTAGGGGCGGGACACGGCTCGATTGCACGGCGAATAGTTTGCTGGGCGACTGTAGCGGTGAAGGTACTCACGAACATCCTTCCTTCTACCCGATTTCCGGGTTGATTGTGGTCGTTGCATCACTTCTTCCTCGAGTGAGGCTGGTCGGAGTGTTACTACGGCCAGGTGATGGTTGTTGGGTAGCTCCCAGGCGATTTCGGGGCTGGGGCTGGGGTCGTGGCATTCTTTTGCCCGTTCGGTGCACTTGGATGTTGTGGTCGTGGTGCGAGTCGGCCTGCTGCGGTTCCGGGGTTGGGGCTTCGTCTTCGTTAGGCACCCGAGTGGGTCAGGCAGTTTCGGAGCTGATGCTTCTAGCTACGGGATCCGTGGTTGACTTGTTTCCGTTGGTTTGGTTCGGTGTTACTCCTTAGGAAGGGCTCGTTTAATTTGTGCTTTTGTTGTGTTGTGTTGTGTTGTGTTGTTTTGTTTTATTGATCGTTTCGTGATTTTGTGTGTTGTTTTGTTTTGTTTTTGGTCTGGGCCGTTGGCCTCTGTGAGCCTGAGTGTCAATTTATTCTCATGTTGGGAGCCGACGCTCAGGTATTATCCTGTTGGGGTCCTTTTAGTTTCTTAGTTTCTTAGTGTTTTCGTGTGTTAGTGTTGTTTGTGTTCGTATGTATTACCCCGTTGGGGTCATCAGGCTCTAGGCAGTCATTGACTATCCTCCCACTCTATTCAGCTGGTGGTTGAACCTTTGTACATTTGTGTTATTTATATATAAAATCTCTATCGTTTCGAAAAAAAAAAGGTGAGTACTGTAGCCCGTAGGAGAAGGGTCTTTCCGTTTCACTAGAGAGAGAGAGCTTTTTTGGCTGACACTAAATAAAATCACACAAGTTGGAGGACTGGAAAGAAAATGATCCAAATTGTACTCACCCCTTCTGTTTTAAAACCTAATCTATCTACACACAACAACACACTTTTTCCCGCTTGCAATATTGGGTGACACTCACAGAGCCCCTCTATCGCTCTTCTCCTTCTTCTCCTTCTTGTGACTGACTGACTGTGTTGGGAAATACCGAAATACTCACCGCACTTGTAAGCTCGAGCTTGAATTTTATTCAAATATTATGACATTCTTTTTAGTCTTTAACCATTTTTTTTTTTTTCATCTTCCCTTTTGCTATTTATTAGTGTAACTTCATTATCCTCACAGGTATTTTTGGTTCCATCTCTTCTTTGTCTGTCGATTCCTGATTGTTACATTAATTTTCGATATTTTCCTTTCTTCTGGCGGGGGAAGAGCGACTCGCTAGCTTGACATAATTAATTATTTGGTTATTTATACATTAATTTGCCAAAACTTGACTTATTAACAATGAGGTTGCACTTCGAATATGAACTCTGTAATTTGGAGTCCATTTCAAAACATTAATAAGTGACTTGTGAATTTTTTTTGGCATGTTTTTTTGTTGTTGGTCTAACAGTTACCAGAGCTATTTGTGAGTGTTTAGCTGATTGTAAGTTTTTGTTAGCTGGAATAATTTTATAATGTGGTTACTGTTGGTTAGGTAGGTTGAAAATCTATTTTGGCACTGTAATCCATTAACTTGTCCTTAGTGGAGTATTCCTTGACCATGAGCTGAGGTTTTATTTGATTGCTAAAGATGTGGGCTTTTCCTAAAGTTTTTGAACTGATTTGGGTCCTTTTCATTTACTTTCAAGTCTAGGGTCATATGAATAATAATAATAATAATTCAAAAATAGGAGATAAGGATTTTGCAGGTTTATGTTTGAGCCCACGTTTGATCTGATTCTATTTGTTTGATATTTTGCAGGTTTCTGTTTCCTGTACGCGCATCTCTGATCTGACACAAATAGAAGCCAAGAGGGGGGAAAGCGTAGTTGACGCTTCAGCGACTCATGATCAATGTTTTTGCGACGATGTAAGTTTCTTGTAGTGCCTTTTGAAACAAATATTTTCCTTCCCCTCCTTGACGAAAACCTCCGGAACCTCTTGAAATCCCAATCCATCCGAGGTCCATACTTGTCTTCGTACGTGACTCCATGATCCTAGAGATATTGTCGAATTCGAGGATTGAAAGCACTTGCAGGACCTCGAAAACCTGCCTATCCGGGAAAGAATCTAAAACGTGGGAGGGGGACAGTAAGTCGACCCTCCTTTTGAAGTCGGGTGACATGCGTTGTCTGAGTTTCATGGAGATCAAACTCAGGCAACGCATGTCACCCGACTTCAAAGGGAGGGTCGACTCACTGTCCCCCTCCCCGTTTTAGATTCTTTCCCGGATAGGCAGGTTTTCGACAGTTCCGCAAGTGCTTTCAATCCTCGGATTCGACAATATCTCCAGGATCATGGAGTCACGTACGAAGACAAGTATGTACCTCGGATGGATTGAGATTTCGAGAGGTTCCGGAGGTTTTCGTCAAGGAGGGGAAGGAAAATATTTGTTTCAAAAGGCACTACAAGGAACTTACATCGTCGCAACAACATTGGTCATGAGTCACTGAAGCGTCAACTACGCTTCTCCCCCCTCTTGGCTTCTATTTGTGTCAGATCAGACCTTCATCGTCTCCAGCGAGATCAAGTGTCCTCCGGAGATGTCCGGTTGAACGCTCAGGGTACAGTGAGGAAGCACCTTTGTGTGCTTACAGGCTTCGGGCGAACGAGCGGCCCTATTACGAGATCCTCAATAGTTGGGGAGAACATTGGGCCGGCAATGGATTCGCCCACATTGGGCCGGCGATGGATTCGGGCGAATACCGCACGAAGAATTGTATCCGATTTCGCAGTAACCGAGTGCTTGGGATAGCCTAGTCAGTTTATCTTAGAACAAAGTAATGTTTAGTTGGTATGTGGCATAACAAGTTTGATTTTCAATTTCCTTGAGGTGTAGTTGACTCATTTTTTAGTCATTAAAAATGCTTGATTTCTAAAGGTTTTGATCCTATGCAATATAAAAGGTCAAAAGTTTACTATCCATTCATAATCACATGTTACATAATTTTTTTAAAGGATCTGATCCTATGCTATATGAAATGTCAAAGTTTACTATTCATTCATAACCTGTGTGTATTTTGAGTAAGAATTCTAAAGCTAAACTCACAGGATCTTGGGAGTTGGAGTCATTTGAAGTTGCGAAAGTCACGTTGTTTTTCTTAAATAATCCGGTTTCTATTAATACTCACATTCCGAACATTTCCATTTGCTATTATAATGTAAAATTCCTGCTATAAAGTCCCCTTGATAGAGTTTATTATTGTCCAATACATGACATCTGATTTTTCTTTTTTCCCGTACATATCTGCGGAAAATCGTGTAGTTTTTCAGGAAGTTTCACGCCGCCTATGTTGATGCAGTAACGAACCCGTTTCACATTCCGGGTAAAAAGATCATATCTAACATCTTTGCTGAAAGAGTCGGTTCGATGATTAAGTCCTTTGGTTGAATCCAACAAGCTGAATGCTGAAACCACCATTGCCATTCACTCTCTCGACTAAAGTTTTCCATTTTCTTTACTCTGTTTTTTTTGAAAATACATTGTAACTTCATTATGACTATCTCAATCTGAAGTTTATACAGTCAAGGCTCCGTTCTTTTCAATGTTCTCTGTAAGATTGTGGAGTGTTCATGTGTTTAGCCTTTTTAGCAGATATTGGCATTTAGACAATCGATTTATTCTGGAATAGCAAGTGAATGATTTACACCAAGATTTGGATTCAATGTTGGTTGCTACACTGTATCGAACATTATCGAGGAAGTTACCTGAAAAATTGTAGTAGTCCACCCAAGAGTGAATTTTGAGATTAAGCATGAACAAAAGCTAATCAAGCCTTGACACCAAATTCTATCATTTTCTGTTTATGGCATTTGATTTGAGAGACGATACGAGTGAAAACGAGTAAAAAAACCAGGCCAAAATGTGGCCGTGTTTTGCATATAACACTATGCCAATCATTGTTGAGCAAGAGCATTTTTCCAGCTTAAAACTATGCATAAAACCATTTCAAGTTTTGAAATCTTTCGTTGTAGAGCACGAGCATTTTTCCAGCCTAAAACTATTTCACGTATTGAAATCTTTCGGGCACCAACGTAGAGAAAATCTGAAAACGTGCATAAGCTCCAAACTCCAAATCTTACGAGTTCATAGCAACATAATGTCGTGCTCCAAAATCCAAACAACAAAACAACATCCAGGAAGAAAAAAAAAATAAAAAAAAATAAAATAAAAATCCGCCAACCATAACTAAGATTATCATAATCGCCATCAAATTCATCTTCGTCTTCCTCAGCTATAACCTTCGCAAGCTCCTGCTCCTCCTGTTGTTGCCTTTCCCTCCTCTTCTCCACACTCTCCTTCTCCTTGTGCGGGAATCTCAGGGCCCGAACGGCCTCATTATGCATGTTCAAACAAAAGGCAATTCTTGAATTTAACACAGCTTGGGGCTCGCTTGTCGAGTAAACGTCACCCGTTTCCTTGGAGACCATTGACCCGCTGGCACGATCCAGCCTGGCATCGATGGCCCCGTCTCGAATTGCCTTTGACACGATGCACTCAGCATCTGTTAGAAAAATGTGAGTGTACAATTAATTTGGATAACCACCACATTATTTTCTAAACCAATTATCAAACTCTTGGAGAATTTTATCCCTCAACCATTTTCTCGTACTGTTTTTCCCCCACATCTCTCTCTCCTTTTCTCATTTTTTTCCCTTTCTCCCGTATACATGTTTTCTCTCTTCTTTTGTGTGTCTCCCAACTTCAACAAATGAGAGTATATATAGGAAAACGTTGTGCCTCAGCCGAACGATCAAGTTGTTTGTCCGGTCGGCCGCAAAAGTGCTCGTGTATTTGTGGGCTATCTTCTTGAAAAGCTCGAGATCTCCGACCCCGACAGCCTGAAAGCCCCGAAAAAGAAAACGCGTGAATGCTAAATTTGGGAGCAATTTTGATTCCCGTGATATTTTATTTTATTTTATTTTATTTTTTGGCAAAAATGATTTTTGGTCATATTGATTTAACACCATAGCAATTTTAGTTCAAGGTTCCCAACTTTCTGCCTTTTGGTCTTGTGATTTAATATTTTGCTACAATTTAGTCATTTGAGGACTGAAATTGCAATAAAATTTTAAATTAAGGACTAAAGTTGCAACAAAATTTTACATTATAGAGCTTAAATTGCTAATCGAAAAGTTAGGAATCTGAAAATTTGTTTTAATTTTAGTCCTTTGAGAACTGAAATTGAAGCAAAATATGAAATCGCACGACAAAAAGACGAAATGTTAGAATATTGGGACTAAAATTGCTATGACGTTAAACTAGCAAGACTATAAAAATGCAAAATTTTTATTGTAATTTCAATCCTCAAATGACTGAAATTGCAACGAAATATTAAATCAAATGACCAAAGGGCGAAATGTTAGAATCTTGGACGAAAACTGCCATGGCATTTGATCAGCAAACTAAAAATGCAATTTTGCCTTTTTTTTTTTAATATTGAAAACAAAGTTGAAAAGGACTCACATTTGTAAGCTTGAAATACGGCCGGAGGGCCTTTTCCATCCCTTTCTGCATAAAAAGGCTTCTCTCTGGAATTTCTCCAAGCAGTAATCGGACAATGACGGCCCACTTGTTGCATTGTATTCGAAAACCGAGAGCCGAAGAAGGTGCTTTCCTGGCGGCTTGAAGAAGGGATTCTTTAGCATCAGTGTACTCTAGCTGAATTGTTCGGATTTTTCCCAGGTAAAAGAGGTATCGACAGAACTAAAGGGGGCACAAAAAGACATGATGAGAGCAGTGAGATCTCAACGACATTTAAATTTAATAATTAACGAAACTTAGGTCTCGACACAAATAACGCATGAAATACCTCCAATTGTAAAGTTTAAAGGTAATATCATTCAAAGCTCGGAAGGAAAAAAGAAAAAATCTCAGAGCAATAAAGTGGCACATATTTCCCTTTTCTTCAACAAGGTAAAAATGATGCTTTTCACATTAAAGATGACTTCTTTGACATCAATTAGCATTTTATACTAATTACATAATTTAACATCAAAGAATTCCAATACAGCCATTTGAATCCTTCTCCATCAGTAATCTCAATACATGCATCAAAAAACCTACGGGTTATGTGTTATTCCAATCTTCTTTTCCCCACATCAATTTACATAAATCTATTTTAGGTATTTGCCTAATCAATGATTGTTGACAGATACACTAATTATACATTATAATCAAACATGTTAAACAAGTAATGCAATAAAGTACATAATCTTATCAGTAGTGACTTGCCTGCTGGTTCGAGTGAGCTTCGAAACGAGGAGCCTTTGATCTCAATTTCTCTGCTTGATCATAGAAGTTGTAATGGAGGTAATTTCTCAACAACAGATTCAGAATAGTTTCCTGATTAATATAATAATGCTACAGATCAGGACAAAAACTACTACAAAGATAGCAAATAAATGGATTGTGCAGTTACAAACAAACCTGCCCCAACTCATTACGACGTAAAGTCGCTGTTTGGTGCAAAGAAAGTAGAGTTCTGCAAACATATGACAGTTTTTTTGTTACATACAACGATATTATTTCAAAACAAAACAAAATTATGACTTGATTCCCGCATATATAAGTTGAATCAGAAATTCTGATATCATGGGTGCTAAGGTTGTATTGTATATAAATTCAATTAAAAAAGAAAAACCAAACAAAAACTCAAATTTAACTCAAACACATTATCATCAGTATTATTGACATAATTAAATAATATCAACTAATCATTATTACACATCACATCAACTTTAATTCATTGTTCATCCACTCACGTAATTTAACTAACCACCACTTCTAATCATTTTTCTGCCACTATTACATCAATCAACTTTAATTATTTTATTTTAAGTAATATTTTAATTTAAAATTAAATTCCCACTAACAACTAACCATACCACATTTTTCAAAATTAACTATGGTTAACAATCAAAAACCAATCAAATCTATATCCAATCACACCCCAAGCAATTCAAACTAACAGAATTACACATACCCTCGTATTTCAGCTAGATTCCCAGTAAGTTCATAGCTCAGCGAATAATAAGAGTACAGCCTTGATGCCAGTACATCTATGGTTCTCCTGTTGACGTTCTTCACACGTGCAATACTCAGCTGAAGAACAAGCATTGGCCTGAGAGTAAAGAGAGAATCATTGACACTGTTAAAATAACATATGCTCTGGTTGAACCTTTAAAAACATAACCCACCTCATTGTATCTCTTTTGGTCAAATCAGAAATATTAGCACGAGCAAATAGCAATAGATCTCAAGCTCCGGTAAGGCATGCTTCGTATGAGCAATATTATCCACCTCCATATAATGCTCATCCCCCTGTAACTATCAGTAATTTAATAAGAAAAGTTAAAACACTAGTGTATGTAATTAGCTCTCTATGCGTAACATCACCCTCGAGTTGCACTTCCAAATTATCTTAGTTATATATACGGCTAATTATATATACAGTTTGGTTTTGAAAAGATTGAAAAAAAGTAGAGCATGGGAAAAAACACTATTTTTCCATAGATCAGTAAAAAAGCGGAAATATGGGAGGAATTGTCACCGAGATTCCAATTAAGAGAATGTATATCTAAATACAAATAGATATTAAATGTCTACTTACCAAAACTATATATAAACTATTTATGTCAAATACCAAACCTGATCCTAAATCAATAATATTTATACAAACCAAAATACGAAGCACAAAATTTTACCATTACATCATTCGAAGGCTAGTAGTAAACATGCATACGTGTAGTTCATCTAAGTGATCAGTTTTTCACCAGGCTAAGAAACAAACTATGCATAATATCTGACCCTTGCTCAAACTGAGGGGGAATATTAAACATGCATACATGTAGTTCATCTTTCAGTCTTTGACAAAGGGTCCATGCAAGCATAAACAAGAAGACTAGAATGAAGAATCCAACTGACATGGTATCTCGATAGATATAAAAGTTTGTAATTTTGTTTTGGCTTTCTTGCTCATAGCTTTCTTGTTTTGAATCCTTGGCACATGCCATGTTTCTATAGCTAAAATAGTCTCACCACGTTTGTTTGGAACAAGGGATTCTAGAATTTCTGCTTCAATCCTATATACACAACATCAATTATTAGAAATAGATGTCATAGACTTGTGAAATAGTATAGACAGACGAGAACATTTGAATTTGCCAAGCATCGTTTCTTTTCCGAATTTGAAGACTGAACGGAATACAAAAACACAATAAAAGAATGCCGTCGCTTACTACGGCTAAATAACTGGTAATTTTCCCGTCTCTCATGGTGAGAATTAATATCATAATACTGACAAAACTAGATATGATAAACCGTAAATCTTCTACCAGTCCAGGGGATGCTATAAAAAAGGTTAATACAGTAGCGCGAAAAAAAAAATTCCAATCCCAAAGCTTGCTAAGCGCAACATTCGACACACATCAACATCAACAATAATCACATTTCAGTCACATAAATTCATGATCACAAAGAAAGATTGTTTCCAAGCATAGCAACAGCAAACACAAAACAAATTACCCCTTCAAATTCAAATGACCATGAAGAAAGCAAACAAAGATTGTTCCCAAGTTTATCCCCGCGCCATGGAATAAATAGTCATAAGATGCTCATTTGAGCATCTCTCTCACTAGGTCTTTCCGATTGGTTGAGAATGGGTATGGCCAATCATTGAAAGCATACCGAAAGTTACGCCAAGGATGATAAATGTTTTTCGGGCAGCAAGGACATCCACGATCTGTATGTGTACCAAAACAAAATGTGCTAACTAATTAAAACCATCCACACGACGTGATTAATAAATCAAATTGAAGACAAATAGAACGAGCTTGGTATTTAATCATCGACCAATGATATACAGAAACATTTCTTACCTATGTCCACCTCCTCCTTCTGCATCCAATTCTGCATCCAAGTGGCCTCAGCGGGTGATAATGTAGCAAGCACATACTTATCATCGCTGCCATCCTCTAAATAGAGTTCGGCAAAAAAAAGGAGCACTTCGTCCTCCTTGGGGCCCACCCTTGCCTCAAAGTTCAAATGCACCCAACGTGTCCTCTTTTCGGTGAATTCCATCAATACACCTGTGCTCGTAAAACTATTGCCTTCAATAGCCCTTTCAAACTTCAAGCTTATTTCCTCGGTCTTTTGTTTTTCAATAAAATAAAAACAAAATGATAGATTAGGAAAGAACCAGAGGTAAAAAGACGAAAAGAATAGAAAAAGGTTTGAGATGAAATCAAATACTTGTTTCGCAATATAATCCTGTAAAGCGAATTCAGCCAATTTAGCAGCAGCATCTGCAGGCAGTAACTTAGGATTGCTATCCACTCTGAATTGTGAAAAATCAAATTTAGTTATTACTTGCTCATTTTGACATAGCCAAAAATAAAAATATATATTAGAGGACAGAGAGAAGAGATTACGTAGCGTCAAAACCAGCACGAAATCCACGTCGCGGGTGATTTATGGAAGAAAGACATTGCCGACAACCATACTCTGTATCAATCCATGAAATTAAAAAATGTTGATAGTAATAACAATACAACAATAATTTCAACAATACAACAATCATTTCAAACAAAGTGAGTGGAGCCTTTTTTCTGCTTCACACAAACTACAGAGGGATCACAGTACTAAACTGTTACAGTTAATAAAACAGGATATTACATGAGAATTTGTAATATTTTAAGATATGCAACTAAGTACAAAGATGTTTCTCTATCAGCGATTACACCAAAAATGACAAATGAAAGAAAATCAAGTCAGAAAGAGAAAGAGTTACATCTGGCACAGGCTAACCGAATAAAAAAAGAAAGCAATAGGCCAACGAGAGGAACCACCAAACATATCACTTAAACAGATAGATAAGATAAATTGCTGTGATGTGCAAACAATCATTGAAAAAGTAAAATTTACTTCAACATGATTAGAAAAGCAGAATACCTCCATCTGTAGGTCCCACGAGTGATAATGTAGTGAGCTCAAACCCTTCTATACTTGAACGTACTTCGGCAAACAAAAGAAGTGGTTCGTCGTTGGGACCAGCATCCGGTCGCCTGGCCTCAAAGTTGAAATGCCTCCAAAGATCATGCATCTCTATAAAGCACCTTCCAAACCCACTTCCCTCCAATTCTGTTGCTTTCCCGTCCAGACACCTCACAAACTCCAAACAAGTTCCCTGTTAGAAATTCCGAATTAAACATACAAAAGCACTGCATCATATTACGAATGACCACAAGATAAAAAAAAAAAAAAAAAAGTAAAATTTATATGGATAAGATAGAACATTAACATGTTTGTTGTTGTAGTGTTGCAATGCAGATTGAGCTACATTCTCGTTCGAATATCTGACCAGAAGAGGGCCCATAAGAGGGTCATCCGGGTCTACAGGAGCTGACATCTCGTCCATATCCCATAACTCTCTGACATTAATCATCCTGCGCTTACTACAGGAAACAAATGATCATGTCATTTATAGTAATATACACTTCTGCAGAGGATAACAACTGATTAGAAAAAAGAAAAGATTTGTCACTTACAACTCTACCATTTCCAGTCTGAGAGTATCCTGTAAATATTTAAGAAATATACAGATAATTGAATTAAATTATGAATTATTATAAAAAAGAAAAGAGATAACTGATTAATCACTGATAAATAATTTATAAGGTGCAAATTGATTACATATTCTCGTTATTATTTAGCCAAATGAAGAATATTACATTAAACGGACGTGCAACAATTTCGATGGACAATATGAATTTTCAAAAATATATAAAAGAAAAAACATTGATTTGCTATGAGTGAATTTATGTTGGACAATTGACCAAGACTTTTTTATTGGGGGGGTATGTATTATATTATACATTAATCATTTATATGTCTTTTGTTATTTAATTGATTTTGTATTTTGTTTGTAATAAAAAATATTACTGTATAATTCTTACAGCTTGATTGTTTGGCTGAGGCACAACGTTATCCGAACGAGACTGTGCCAGCGTTATCGGAGTCGACTTAGTTGAGGTCTTCGCCGCCTTGGCCGGCTGCTTCTTCTCAGCCTTCTTGCTTTCGGGCGCCTTCCTCTTTGTCACGGCCTTGGCCTTCGCAGCCGGCTTAGCTTTGGGTTTCGCTTTCGGCTTGGGTTTGGAGACAGCTGCCTTCATCTCCTTGGCGCCGGCAGCTTTTAGTGCGGAAACAGAAACAGACTTCATATTCTTCTTCGCCGGCGAGGATGGCTTGGCCGGGCGAGCGGTCGGAAGCTTGAAGGAGCTCTTTACCTTCACGAGTTTGTCGTTGGCCACGAGCTTCTTCAGCTGGAGGAGCAGGACTTTCCTGAAATTGGCCGGCAGGTTCTTCTGTTTGTCCTCGATGAACTTCGCGATGGCGGGCTGGCTGGAACCCGTCCGGTCCTTCAGCGTAACGATCGCATCCTTAATCATCTGCAGAATCCACCGGAAAATTTCAGATCCAACCTCAAGAAATCAAAAAATCCGAAAAAAAAAAAGAAGAGGTACAAAATCACAGATTTAATCGCGGATTGATCAATCAATACCTCGAAGTACGGAGGGTGTGTGGGGGTGGTGCGCTTCTTCCGAGCAGGCTCGATCGGGACAACTTGCTCTTCAACGGTGGCCATGGAGGAATTCACTGAGAAATTAGGGTTAGCGATTGTTTTTTTTTTTTGTTTTTTATTTTTTATTTTTAGGAATTTGGGTGAAATATAACCAACGGAAAACGTGGGTGGATTTAAATTGCTGAGATTCAGAGCATCTCGTAACCTAAAAAATCTGATTTTATTCACAGAGTTACCAAAGATATAAGCTACGAACACGAAAACGGCAAAAATGGAGGAAAGTAGAATATCACAGAAAAATGAAACAAGACGCGTGAGGGACGCGCCCCTCTTCTTCTCCCCTCAATCAAAAAACCAGTCGTCTTCTCCAATTTTCGCCGCCCCTCCTACACCTACAAGCTCGCCGCCGCACTGCTGGAATAGGAGCTCGTTGATTCGGGGCTGAGGACATTTCCGTCTCCTCCGGGCTTTGTGGGAGATTGGGTTGGACAGCTCTCGCCCCCGCTGGGTCCGAGTTGCTTCTCCACCTAGCCATCCCCAGCCATGGACGAGACCGCCGGCAGCAAGAGTTCAGGCCCAAGCCTCGAGGAGGTACCGACCATTGTTCCGCCGAGAGTTTTGTTGTTCATGTTTTGGGTCCTTTGGTGCGGCGTGCCGACCGTTCGATCCCTCTTTCGAGCACTCCGGCGAGGACGAGTTAGTGTTCTCACGGCGGCTTCTTCTCCTCTCCAAGCGTGGATGGTGTTCCAGAGTCCAGATCTGAATCGAGAGCAGTCTCTTCTTCAGATCCGTCTAGGCGGCACGAGTAGCCGCAGTTTTCGGGCTTGAGGTTCCGGTTTGTGGTTTTGTTGGATCTGTAATTTGGAGTCCATTTCAAAACATTAATAAGTGACTTGTGAATTTTTTTTGGCATGTTTTTTTGTTGTTGGTCTAACAGTTACCAGAGCTATTTGTGAGTGTTTAGCTGATTGTAAGTTTTTGTTAGCTGGAATAATTTTATAATGTGGTTACTGTTGGTTAGGTAGGTTGAAAATCTATTTTGGCACTGTAATCCATTAACTTGTCCTTAGTGGAGTATTCCTTGACCATGAGCTGAGGTTTTATTTGATTGCTAAAGATGTGGGCTTTTCCTAAAGTTTTTGAACTGATTTGGGTCCTTTTCATTTACTTTCAAGTCTAGGGTCATATGAATAATAATAATAATAATTCAAAAATAGGAGATAAGGATTTTGCAGGTTTATGTTTAAGCCCACGTTTGATCTGATTCTATTTGTTTGATATTTTGCAGGTTTCTGTTTCCTGGCATCTCTGATCTGACACAAATAGAAGCCAAGAGGGGGAAAAGCGTAGTTGACGCTTCAGCTACTCATGATCAATGTTTTTGCGATGATGTAAGTTCCTTGTAGTGCCTTTTGAAACAAATATTTTCCTTCCCCTCCTTGACGAAAACCTCCGGAACCTCTCGAAATCTCAATCCATCCGAGGTCCATACTTGTCTTCGTACGTGACTCCATGATCCTGGAGATATTGTCGAATCCGAGAATTGAAAGCACTTGCGGGACCGTCGAAAACCTGCCTATCCGGGAAAGAATCTAAAACGTGGGAGGAGGACAGTGAGTCGACCCTCCCTTTGAAGTCGGGTGACATGCATTGCCGGAGTTTTCAAAGGGAGGGTCGACCTCTCACGTTTTAGATTCTTTCCCGGATAGGCAGGCAGGTTTTCGACGGTCGACGGTCCTGCAAGTGCTTTCAATCCTCGGATTCGACACTATCTCCAGGATCATGGAGTCACGTACGAAGACAAGTATGGACCTCGGATAGATTGGGATTTCGAGAGGTTTCGGAGGTTTTCGTCAAGGTGGGGAAGGAAAATATTTGTTTCAAAAGGCACTACAAGGAACTTACATCGCCGCAAAAACATTGATCATGAGTAGCTGAAGCGTCAACTACGCTTCTCTCCCCTCTTGGCTTCTATTTGTGTCAGATCAGACCTTCATCGTCTCCAGCGAGATCAAGTGTCCTCCGGAGATGTCCGGTTGAACGCTAAGGGTACAGTGAGGAAGCACCTTTGTGTGCTTACAGGCTTCGGGCGGCCCTATTACGAGATCCTCAATAGTTGGGGAGAACATTGGGCCGGCAATGGATTCGCCCACATTGGGCCGGCGATGGATTCGGGCGAATACCGCAGGAAGAATTGTATCCGATTTCGCAGTAACCGAGTGCTTGGGATAGCCTAGTCAGTTTATCTTAGAACAAAGTAATGTTTAGTTGGTATGTTGCATAACAAGTTTGATTTTCAATTTCCTTGAGGTGTAGTTGACTCATTTTTTAGTCATTAAAAATGCTTGATTTCTAAAGTTTTTGATCCTATGCAATATAAAAGGTCAAAAGTTTACTATCCATTCATAATCACATGTTACATAATTTTTTTAAAGGATCTGATCCTATGCTATATGAAATGTCAAAGTTTACTATTCATTCATAACCTGTGTGTATTTTGAGTGAGAATTCTAAAGCTAAACTCACAGGATCTTGGGAGTTGGAGTCATTTGAAGTTGCGAAAGTCACGTTGTTTTTCTTAAATAATCCGGTTTCTATTGATACTCACATTCCGAATCCATTTGCTATTATAATGTAAAATTCCTGCTATAAAGTCACCTTGATAGAGTTTATTATTGTCCAATACATGACATCTGATTTTTCTTTTTTCCCGTACATATCTGCGGAAAATCGTGCAGTTTTTCAGGAAGTTTCATGCCGCCTATGTTGATGCAGTAACGAACCCGTTTCACATTCCGGGTAAAAAGATCATATATAACATCTTTGCTGAAAGAGTCGGTTCGATGGTTAAGTCCTTTGGGTTGAATCCAACAAGCTGAATGCTGAAATCACCATTGCCATTCACTCTCTCGACTAAAGTTTTCCATTTTCTTTACTCTGTTTTTTTTTAAAAATACATTGTAACTTCATTACGACTATCTTAATCTGGAGTTTATACAGTCAAGGCTCCATTCTTTTCAATGTTCTCTGTAAGATTGTGGAGTGTTCATGTGTTTAGCCTTTTTTCGCAGATATTGGCATTTAGACAATCGATTTATTCTGGAATAGCAAGTGAATGATTTACACCAAGATTTGGATTCAATGTTGGTTGCTACACTGTATCGAACATTATGGAGGAAGTTACCTGAAAAATTGTAGTAGTCCACCCAAGAGTGAATTTTGAGATTAAGCATGAACTAAAGCTAATCAAGCCTTGACACCAAATTCTATCATTTTCTGTTTATGGCATTTGATTTGAGAGACGATACGAGTGAAAACGAGTAAAAAAACCAGGCCAAAATGTGGCCGTGTTTTGCATATAACACTATGCCAATCATTGTTGAGCAAGAGCATTTTTCCAGCTTAAAACTATGCATAGAACCATTTCAAGTTTTGAAATCTTTCGTTGTAAAGCACGAGCATTTTTCCAGCCTAAAACTATTTCACGTATTGAAATCTTTCGGGCACCAACGTAGAGAAAATCTGAAAACGTGCATAAGCTCCAAACTCCAAATCTTACGAGTTCATAGCAACATAATGTCGTGCTCCAAATCTTACGAGTTCATAGCAACATACAGTGAATTGGATTTGATTTGGCATTTTTATGTTAGTAATATAGTGAAATGGGTTTGATCTGGCATTTTTGTGTCAGTGATTTTAAGAAGCATGCAGTCTTTTTGGTGTTCATTATGTGCTGTTTTGTGTTTTTTCTTCTCACCCCTTTTACGAAGGGCTTAATTTTTACAGGGTCTTCACTTATCTGTTCTTTTTAATAAAATATTCCAGATTTCGATCAGATAATTTTGTATGGAGTTAGTTCTGTGTTACCTTGCTATGGTTTTTAGCTAGTGCAATGAATTATTCACTTAATAATTCTTTGAGGTTCAATTAGTTATACACTTAAACTCTACATTCAAAGTTCAAAGGGAGGTTTAAATTTTTAACCTACAAATCACTATTTTTCATACTAGGACCTTGATTTGATTGCTGCTGTAAAAGGACTTGACGAGCTTAGCCCACAACAGCTTACGCAACTCATCAGGGATTCTGGAAACAATATTGCTGAAGTTGGATCACACATACAGGTTCTCTTTTGCAGACTGAGTAGCTCTGTTTTCAAATAGTTGATGGTGTAGCTAGTTCAACTCTGATGTCATGCAAAAATTGATATTCCTTAGATGATAATTGCAGGTTGACATGGAAAAATTCGCAAGATATCTTCCCTTACACCTAATTGCAGCGATAATGGCCTGGGAAATGGACATTCAAGTATTTTGTTTTGTGGAGTTCTTTTGTTACATTCTATGTGTGATCTTGCTTCCCAGAATTGAGCAGGTTAATCAGAAGCTACTCTTGTTCATAATATGTGCAGTTAAAAATGGTAAAATTTTTTTGTAGTTGTTTACATATAATTGGAGCACGATTGCAGCCTGATGAATTTGGATTCCTTTTACTTGTGGTTTCACCTTAGAAATTTGTAACTGGCAGAAGTATAGTATACTCTTCTGTTTTGTCCCATTTCGCCATCTGTTTTTCCTTACCCTGTTCTTGATTGTATGAGATTTCATATCTTTAATTGTATCTATCAATTTAATGTACTTATATATATCTTCCTATCATGTGGTTATTCATTCATCAGTGTGTGCTACAGATATTGCTTGATGATGTGAGAGTATCTGAACATGGTATTTTATTTGGTAGTTCTCCTGGGTGCATACAGACAGGTTGTTTTCTACAGTCCTGCATATTTTAGCCATGCGAGTGTGTACTGAGTACTGACAATGTTGTTGTTCTAGGGTTATCAGAATATCACCAATGATATGATTCTCTTGCATTCAGCCATAAAATTGCTAATGGTTATTGTCTCTCCTCAATACCAAGATGTTGCTCAAGTTTTGTCTGCCTATTACAAAGTAAGTTTACGGGTCTTCAAATACTCCAGGTGAAATATCTGCAATCGTGTGACACTGTTACATAAATAACATCTGAATCAACTTAGCAGTTCATATTAGTTTTAACTCGAGCTGTTTTTGTCTTCTTAGTTGTCGACTGTTAGTAGTTACAATGTGCTTTCTTCAATTTTGGCAGGTTGATATATTTATGATTTTCTGCTGTTTGTATAGATGTCAAATATTTGCATTCAATTGAACAAACCGAGTCTTGGGCTGGTACTACTCCCCTTACTGCAGAAGAGACCTTGAATCATCTTTGCCAGCAGTGTGACTCCTCTCTGCATTTTCTGCAGTCTTTATGTCAACAGAAGTTAAGTTGTTCCAAGAATGCATTATTAAAAATAAGGTCATTAGTTTCTTCACGTTTTCGTTAGGTTCTTTGTCTGTGTTGGATTTGCATTATGATTTCAAATGTGGCTTACAACTTGATTCTGCTGATCTGCTCATAGAAAGTTAAAATGTTTTGCACTTCTGAACTCACTGATTACTGTGTGCTTATCCTGAATTGGGATATAAATTATATTTGATATCTCATTTTGTTATGAATTACTTAAAATCTACCTGAGTGGCTTGAACAAATTTGTACTCGTTTGATTTGGGAAATAGAACAGTTTTTATTAGCTGCCGAAGTTATAGATCTTTATGAGTCAGTGCCAGACATAGGAGCAGTGTTATAAATCATTGAATTGCAGCTCAAAATTTTTTGACCAGAACATCCTGAAAATCAATGGGAAGTGATGTTTCACTTTTAATTTTATTGAAATGTTGTCATTAATATTAAGTTTTTCATTGTCCTCACCATTTTTGGTTTCCTCTGTTTCTGTACTCCAGGAGGTATGTGGCAATGGAGGTGCTCTTGTACTGGTACAGACCGTTTTGAACCTCAAGATATCAATACATCCTTATATATTTGATATATATTTTTTACATAACTGTCAAGTGAGTGGCGGTTTGTCATTTTCCTTTTTAGGTTCTTAAATAAGTTAAACTGGATACACACGCCCATTTCCTAACTAGTATTTACTTGTAGGCTCATTGTTAAGTCATGCAGAGTCATTAGTTCCCCGGTTTCTAAATGAAGAAGACGTGCAGCTCCTACGCTAGTTTTAAATAATCCATATTCTTTTTTTATGTCAGTTCTTTGTCCTTTTCTTTTTTTTTTTTTTTCCTTTCNGTTAATTTGAATATTCAATAGTATCTCATGATGTTTTGCATCTTACATTTTGATTGTTCTTCACTGCTACATTCTAAGTAAAACATTCTTCCGTGTAGGTTATTTATTAATCAATTTGACTCTTCGGTTGTTTCTGCTGCTATTGAAGTTCGTCCTTTCCAAGTAATTCTATTCGCCCTTAAAGTATTTGTGTTTTTCTATTCCTTTCTGTGAAAACTTTGTTCCTGTACTGTGACCACATTAGACTGCTCGAAGATATTAGCGGAAAAAAAATAAATAAATAAATAAAAAAAAATTGCATATCCATTTCCTTAGGCACAGAAACAAAAGTTTGGTCATTAGATGGATTATTAGATTGATATTCTCCTAATTAACATGAATTCGAAATAGTTGTGATGTATTAAAAATTATATGCAAACTGTGATAGGATTATTAGCAACTATGATATCTCTATGTGATGTTTTTCAACAAATGACAACGAATTGCCCATCCGAATGCTGTATAAAACATTTTAATAACTGATTTTTCTGTTACTATTAAGGATGCTCGAAATAAGAAATGCACTTATGGGGAAAGTAAATCCTGGATGATGGATCAAGGTAAGAAGCCCAATGGACCCCACATAAATTGGTACGACACGATCTTTTATATTTTCAGGATCTTTCATCCCTTTTTTTTTAAAAAAATTTGATTTCAGTAGGCTAACAATATGTTATCAGTTAAAGCATCCTGTGAAATTCAATAGATCATAAAATCACTATAGTTAATGCTCCAAAGATAACCATTTCTAACCTAAGTTGGGTCGAAAGAAACTTCCAAGTCCTTTTTTCTCTGTGTTATACTTACACCGACAGGCTCAATAACCGAAAAGCGAAACTTTCTCCGTGAGCCATATGAAGGGGAACAGTCTCGAGAGACAAGGCAGTTGGGCCACCGTTCACTCAAACTCACCCTTGAGCCCAATCGAAGACTCCCGGGTCCAGCCCAAGTCAACATGGAGCGCCAAAAATGAGCACACGGACGACCCATTTTCTGCTGATGTTGCAAGGCCCGGTCCATAAATGAACTCATGCGATTGTGAGTTTCGGCTGATTATGCAACTACATTGGTACTTGGCCTAATCATCAAAGGAAATAAATTACAAATGGGCGGTACTTTTTAATTTTCGTAATTTTGTAGCCCGTCTCATGTTGGTTTATGATCTATGTGCAGATCNAAAAAAAGGGACTTTTGAATTGAAGTTTAATGCTTCACAGGATCACATCCCAAACGAGGAAAAGTCTTCTGGCTAATTAGAAACTATTAGAAATACTAACTTGAATCTTTTCATATGGCTGCCAAAAGGGAGATATGCACTGAGTCCTTGAATTAAGAAGCCATATTGTCTACATGGCTTGAGTTGAAATTGTAAATTCTGTATAATCGAGGGAGCAGCCTGTGAAGGAACTATGTCTGAAAGTGGATTAGACATATTTGTAGAAACAAATATCCATCTTTCAAAGTAATGCATGCTTTTACCTTTTTTTGGGACCCAACAAAATACTGTACTTTATGTTAGACTTAGCTTTGTGATATATTATCATTTGCCAAAGGAAGATATATGAAAAAACCAGACCTTACATACAATCTCATGAACTGTGATTTGTATCATGATTTGGGGCTTCAAAAAAAAAAATCTGCTTTGTTCTGGGTCCAAAAAAAAACCACCAGGCCTACAAAGCAAGAAATTAAAGTAACACCATAGAAAGAATGATAAGCAGAATTCCGTTAACGATAACCCAAAATCTGTATTTCAGATTCCAAAATTAGGGTTTTTTTAAATGGACCAACATTCAGAAACAAATCAAAAGATCCCATCTTTACTATACCCATCAACCAAGCCACCAAAACAACTGCCAAACATAACTTTGAACACTAAAACTCCTGGGAAGCAGAGCCAATCTCCTTGTCCTTTCCTCCAGCTTTCTTCGGCAACAGAGTCTGGTGGATGTTGGGCAAAACGCCGCCGTTTGCAATGGTCACACTCCCCAGAAGCTTGCTCAGCTCCTCATCATTCCTCACCGCCAATTGTATGTGCCTGGGCACGATCCTGTTCTTCTTGTTATCCCTCGCCGCATTACCAGCAAGCTCCAAAACCTAATTACACAAAAGGGCCACAAAATTAATCCCAAATTTAATTTTTACGGTTCATTTCCACACAATCAAAACTCCCCAAGTGACAGGGAAAAAAGCCCAGCGGCCGAACTTGATAGAATCCGAAAAAAAATTGTCCGCGGTATTAAGAGATTCACCTCGGCGGCGAGGTATTCGAGAACGGCCGAGAGGTAAACCGGCGCGCCAGCGCCGACGCGCTCGGCGTATTTCCCGGTCTTGAGAAAACGGGCGATCCTGCCAACCGGAAACTGGAGGCCGGCCTTCGACGAGCGGGAAACCGATTTGGCGGATTTGGGCTTGCCCCGGCCGCCCTTGGTGGAGACTGTGGTCTTCGAACTCATTATTTTCCGGCGAAGGCTCAGCGATGTACAGACGTCAAAATTGTTCAGAGAGAGAGAATTTGTGTACTTTGTGAAATGTAATCGGTTTTGTGCTTTTGAGAAGAGAGAGATTTTTTTATAGACTCTAATGGCTACTTATGATTGGTCGTATTAGGAAGGCCCGGATCGCCAGCGTGGCAAATCAAATTATGGAGGGAATAATTTTTTTTTGAAAAAAAAAAAGTTTTTGAAATTACTTTTTATGATTTTGCCTCAATTTTCATACCAAAAAAATAGAGCAAATTGTCATGTTTTCCGGAGGAAAAATCTTTTATATGTGATCGATGTATATTATATTTTGCATGTAAGATAAGAGATTACATATTTCATAATTGACTTAACGAAAAACCATAGCCGATTGTTGGATTTCGCCATGTGGTCACAACGTAACTTTATTTCTAATTTTATATAATTGACGTGGCCTACTTAATCTACATGTCAATTTTACGTCAATATTTAATTTTAAAAACTAGCAAATTATAATCTTTTTTTTTTCATTTTTTTTAGTTATTATTTTACAACATTATTCAAAAATTCTCCATTTCTTCATCTTGAAACCCCATNAAAATACAAAATGACCGCAAATTAGCAGGGCCAAATTAATTTCATACATATATATAAATGTAATTCTATAATTTCCAATGCCGTCCACCAATATTTACTTACATATATACTACCAACAAGCCAAAAACCCTAAAAACAATATATCACTAGATTAAAAAAAATGAAAGATGATAATAGTTGTTATAAACTCCTATTTTCCTAAATCTTCACCGCATATTCACAATATGATCAACACATCCATTAAAGTTTTTGTCTCAAATTAAGTAAAAACCAATAGAAGAAAAAATGTGAAAAATAAAAAAATTAAAAATTAAAAATATAAAGAAAAAACACTAAAGGCTCCTTTAATTATTTTTTCATGCATGTTGTTTCTCTAATGGCTTCGCCCGGCCGGCTGATCCTCCTTCGTACGAGCATTCCAATTCTTCGGGAACAGAAACTTGATTGTTTTCACTGGACTACCATCAAGCAAAAGGACTTCTCGAATTTGACGACGATTTTCGACCTCAATTCTCTTTGGCACGGCTAAGGATGTAAGAGTATTCGACATCTCCTCGTCGAATGAACTTATTTCTCGGACGATATTCGGACAAATATCACTGTTGCAATCCATTTTTTTTTTTTATCTTTCTTTCTTTCTTTTTTTTTTTTATCGATTCAAGAATTGATGATATTGTAAGAAGAAGTGATTTTGCTATGCATGTATATGTGTGGATATATATTGTAGATAGGACCTTTTGTTTCTCCTTTTAGGAAAAGGATTCAAATTGTGTTTTGCATGTTAATTTGTAGGCAAGGTTTCCTTTTCCTTTGGGAATAAGATTGTGATAATTGGGCCTGGGCTGCATTTTAATGTGAACTGCGATGGTGGAATAACGGGCCTTAAGGTTTTAGTTTACTAAGCACACTCGAGAACATTGAATAACAACGCGACACGTAGCAACATAAAACGCAACATACAAACACTTGAGCAGAAGGGCTTCATATGGTGTCGCCGCTTTGTTTTGCATAAAAGGGCAAAATCAACCGTGAAGTTCAAAAAATGGAGTTGTCATCGATCTTATCCTCTGCTTTCCGATTGTTAACTTGGTCCTTGAGGCCTTCAAATCCCAATTTGGGCCGTGGCGTTCGTGCTATGAGCTCCTCCGCCGCCGCCGCACCGAGCAGGGTCGTGAAATCGCCGCCGTGGATGATGCTGCCGCCGTCGTTCGAGGGCGGCAGAATGGTTAATTCCAACTTCTACAGCCTGGGACACGACAGAGTCTTGAGCTTTGACGGCGGCGGGACATCATCACCGTACGAGAAATTAGAGACGAACGTAATCGTGGGATCCTCACACGGCTGGCTGACCCTTTTCAACCCGACCAACTCCGACCTGTTCCTGTCGAACCCCCTCACCGGCCGCCANGCCACGTTAGTCTCCCGCCGGTCCCCCCCCTATGGCCGCCACGAGAGTCTCCTGCCCCCCATCCCCGTCGATGATGACGTGGACGACGGCTGTGCGTGGGTCGACAAGGTGATAATCTCCGGTGAAGACCCGGAACACGAAGATTGCCGGGCCTTGATGATCTTCGGCACTTACAAAATCCTCGCTTTCTGCTGCCCGGGCCTGGCCGGGGCAGAGTGGACCCGCATCGGCGCCCACACTTATCCTCCGTACAATGACGTGAGGGGATACGAGGATACGGTGTACACAAACTCGGAGAATTTATTCTTCTGCCTCACTGAGATCGACTCCGACGATTTAGAGGCGTGGGATCTCACGGACCCCACCTCGCCTAAGCTGGTTTGGTCGAATCACAAGGACTTGTTAGGCTTTGAAAACTACATTTCTTGGTTGGATAATGTGAAGAGTTCACGTTTATCGAAAACCGGGATTCGGACGACGCCACTTAGATACTTAGTGTATGCAGCGGATTTGCGGCAGTTATTTCTTGTCACGCGTCATTTAGTCGAGCAAATGGCTCCGGATGGTTCGTCTGTGGAAGATTTTGATAGAGAGAATGAATACCCATACAAAACGGTGGCTTTTGATGTGCATAAGATCGATCGGGAAGAAGGTGGAGGAGGGAAGTTGAGGTATGTTGATGGGTCGTTGAATGGGCTGGCAATGTTTGTTGGGCTTAACCACTCGTTCGCGGTGATGCCTACAAACGGTGAGCTGAAGCCCGATTCCATATACTTCACGGATGACAAGGTATTCAACCCGCGAAATTCGAATTACATTTATGAGGAGGAAAAAATGTATGTGGGGCACGATATTGGGATTTATGATTACGAGAAGAAGACTATCTCCCCTTGCTATTATCCGTGCGAAGTAGGGAGATTGAAAAGGATTAGTCCCTCACCTATTTGGTTTACACCCTCATCATAACTAGTCACTTTTTAGGATTCTATTTATTTGTTTTGTTTTTAATATTTTTCCTACCTTTATCTGTTTTTTAGATTTCTTTTGATGGATATGACAGTTTGAATCTTATATCTTGTTTTGTTATGAGTTATTCTGTAGTGTATTCATGCTAATCTATCCTTTCTTATATAATTAGTATTCGTTTGAATGTGTTTGACAGTATAACACTTCTCCCTCCTAATGTTTGTTAGGCTCTTTTCTAGTTCTCAATATCATTCAGTTTCAGTTAGGAACTTAGGATGTCAATGTCATGCTTTTAGAATGAATGACATTGCCTCCTCGGAGTGTTTACAATGTGCACACTATTATTCTTCAAAGTGTTCACTAACAATCTAAATAATAATGATGATACTATCCATATGTTGTTGCATATTTCTAGACCTTGATAACTAATCAGTTTCTAGTAGGATTCTATGTATTTGTTTAATCTTTTTTTCTCGTGTCGTTTACTAACTGACTGCATGCTACTATGTTTCACAATCCAAAAGAGAAGAGGTTTTTTTTTTCATACCTGATTGACTTGAAAGTTGCAGACTTGATATGCTTGAATCATAATACAGTTACAAAACAGTGTATGTATGAGGACATAATAATACTCATTAGCTAATGATTCTCCTTTGATACCCTGCCCTAATTTCATTCACCCTTTTTACAAACACAATGTCTTGTGATATCACCATTAGCTATGAGCTAAAGTGCATACTTTTTTTACTTTATATGTAAAAAGAGTATATTCTTCACCTAATGATTAGGTTACTCTAACAATCGTTAGACCATGTTTGATATCATCCTTGCCTAGTATTTTCTTCACATGGAAAGATTGCTTGCCATTACTGCTTTGTTCTAACAGAGAGAGAGGATGCAATGCAAATGAATGCACATGATCATTTTCAGAGAATTTCAGAGGAATGCGGTAGATCCACATTGGAGCTAGAGAAAAAGGGGAATGATCTCAACGAACTTGAAAAGGAACTGAAGGAGCGTGAAGTTAGGAATGAAAATGAGATCATAAATCTTGAAATGCTTAAAGCTGAGAAAAGCTGCAGATAAACCCATTTGTTAATTAATTACTTCTACTTGAGAATCAAAAAATAAAGCATCTTATCATTAAGTTTGTTATCAGAAACTCATTTTAATCGGTTTCCTGACATTGATGCACTCAAGGCTCTCTTTCACAGTAGGATAAGTGCAATCATTATGTACAATTTTTAAGCATGAGCATAAGTGATAGATACAATCTTTCTTATATACATTATCATGGAATGGTTTCAGCTTCCAACTTATCTTCTAATGGTTTCAGAAAACGCAAGTTTGTGCAGTGTATTTTTGTTTATACTTACTAGACTAGACTTCAGAATATACTAAGTTTCAATAACTTCATACCCCCGTGCAGAATGAGAAAACCATCATGGAGCAAAGCTTCTTTCTTTATTTCTTATTTTCCAGCTTTTAGTTAAAAAATCTACACCTTGACCTTTTGACAGTGAGAAAAAGATTGTAGAGTTAGAAAAGCAGATAGATGCCAAGCTGGAATTTTTTAACACACTCAACCAGAATCCCATTGTGAAAGAACGGAGATCCAACGATGAATTGCAAGAAGCTAGGAAGAAGCTGATTGAGGTCACCTTCAATAAATTCTGTTCATATTTGCCAGATTTTCATTTTTTATGCCAAACAGTTTGTGTCAATCCTCTGTTGGCTGTTTCCTGTGTTTTATTTTTACTAATGTTCAAAATTCTAAAATATAATATTATTATATAATTTATAATTTTAATAGATATAATTTATAATAATTTTTTTATATTTGTGCATATGCATATAATCGAATACTGGTTATAATTTTAATTATTTATAAAAATAATTAAATACATATTCAATTGATATTCAAAATCTAACTCAATTTTAATTCAATCTCACTATCCTCATAATTATCAATCTATATGTATATAATTGTTAGCAAATCATCAAATATAACCTAATAAATTTTAGCTATATGACATTTTCCCTCCCGTTACAATCCAACATTACTACTACATTAATCACCCTGTCCCACTAATGTTAAAATATTTTCTTGCACTTTTTTTTGTTAACTAAGACAAAAACCGTTACATTTTATATTAATTGATCAATAATTATATTTTTTATTCTATCATATAATAGTTATTATTAAAATTAATAATTATATTTTACACTAAATGATATATGATAGTTACATAAACATAAAAAATTATATTGTAAAAGCTTTTTGTTCAAGTTAGTTATTCTAAAAGCAATATTATATTTTTATACTAGTAAAATTATATAATAACAATCCACCATTCTCACGCATAATATCAACTTTCTACTCATAAATTTTAATTAACTATCATTTCACGTCATCTCTCGTCATCTCTCCTACTTTTATATCCAAATAACATTAATTATTTTATTTTTTTAAAATAAAAAAATGACATTAAGTCTAAATATAGTGATATTTTGGCGGATTTTTATTTTCCAAAAAATCAATTCCCACTTTATTTTGACGTGTTTTTTATCTGATTTTTTATCTGGTAACTCATATTTGCTTTTAATTGGAAATTTTGGTGTTTTTATTTTTTAAATTGCAATCTCAACTCTTTTTTTATTTTAATTATAACATAATTAATCCCACCAACAGGCAACAACTAGTATGTATTTGGTTATTAATAGTCTAAAAATACTATATATATTCAATTTTTTATCAGTAAAAGTATTCTAGAAATTTGATTATATATTATGCATATCACATGATAAATTTAATCTAGTGAAAATTTTTGTATATATTCTATTAATATTTATACAAATACTTTAAAATAAATTATCAACATTATATTAAAAGATTTTAACTGCTGCAAAACTTCTGATGATGCTAGTACTAATCCTTGAATTTCTCCGAATATCTATCCAAACTTTTTTTTCCCAAAAAAATCAATTCCCGACGAATGATGGGTAGGGACTTTATTTTGACGTGTTTGTTATCTATCTGGTAACTCATATTTGCTTTTAATCGGAAATTTGGGTGTTTTTATTTTTTAAATTGTAATCTCAACCCTTTTTTATTTTAATTACAACAAAATGTAATTAATCCCACCAGGCAACTGTATGTATTTGGTTATTAATAGTCTAAAACATACTATATATATTCAATTTTTTATCAATAAAAGTATTCTAGAAATTTGATTATATATTATGCATATCACATGATAAATTTAATCTAGTGAAATTTTTTGTAAATATTCTATTAATATTTATACAAATACTTTAAAATAAATTATCAACATTATATTAAAGATTTGTAATAGATTCTAACAATCTTTCTAAAATAAATTCTAAATTAAAATGAGAATAAAATAATTTTGGGCTTATTGAAAAATTATGTATTCCCAATATTTTTCATGTGTACGAGTAAAATAGTTTTGTTTTCATTTATTGTATATGCAGTTCATTTCAAATTGTAAAGGAGATGATTTTGAAGATGCTAGTACTCATTATTGAGTTCCTCTGAATAACTGCTGCAAAACATGATGCTTAGTACTAATCCTTGAATTCCTCTGAATATCTGCTGCTTGGATCCAAACTTTTTTTTTTAACCAAGAACCCACATAGAGCTATGAGAAAAGTGTTGCATATCCTTTTTTGACTTTGTTCTTAGTATTGAACTTTTTTATTAGAGGTATGTGACTATAGAATTGTGATGGAGAATTTTCATCTTTACCACGTGATTTCGAAATAATTGGTAAGTATACGAATGGACGAATTTTCATCTTTACCACGTGATTTCGAAATAATTTTCATCTTTGACGTTTCAGCTTTAGGCAATAATTTTCATTTTTGCTTGAAGGTTAGAATCGACATTAGATGAATTGATACATGGAGATCCGTTCTTATTTATATACAATGATTGAAGTGCTAATATTTTGGTTAATGAGTTATGAAAGAGTGATTTTCTTAGGGATTCAATTTTTGTAAATTGTTACATTTTTCCATAAATTTAGGTAATTAATGTTTAAATTAGTCAATAACTGATACAATAATTTTTCTAGTACATATAAAAACAAGATTTTATAGTCGAGCCAAAGTTATCTATCAAACGAGTTGAGTCGAACTCAAAATTTAACGAACATATGAACAGACGGTTTCATCTAACACATATATCAACAATCAAAATTCCGACACTTTTAACTCATCTATTGCACTAGATAATGGTCATAGCTATAATTGTATTGATTTAAACATATAATTATTACTGGATCAACAATATGTAAAATATATTTGAAATAATTGTTGACTGAAGTAAGACACTTTTCTCTAAATTGAAAACTCCGACATAAACAAGATTTAGTGAGATAGAGACGAGATTGCGGTCGCCTGGAGAAACATGATCGACTCTTGGCTTTAATATAATTATTTATTTCTATCTTTATCTAGTTTTTTCCTTGTTACACAAGATAGATAATTAAGGAAATGAGGATTCGATTTATTCTCTTCCCTTTCTTCACAGCGTGACGGATCAGCTTTTATGAAATAAAATACAGATATCTTCGATTTTTAACTTTTCTCACTTTTGTTTGCAGCGTCACTTTGTCAATGTTATCTTCTGCTTTCCGATTGTTAACTTGGACCTTGAGGCCTTCAAATCCCAATTTGGGCCGTGGTGTTCGTGCTATGAGCTCCGCCGCCGCCGCTGCCGCACCGAGCAGGGTCGTGAAATCGCCGCCGTGGATGATGGTGCCGCCGTCGTTCGAGGGCGGCAGAATGGTTAATTACAACTTCTACAGCCTGGGACACGACAGAGTCTTGAGCTTTGACGGCAGCGGGACATCATCGCCGTACGAGGAATTAGAAACAACCGTAATCGTGGGATCCTCACACGGCTGGCTTGCCCTTTTCAACCAGACCAACTCCGATCTGTTCCTGTCGAACCCCCTCACCGGCCGCCACGTCAAATTCCCGCCCGTCCCCGTCATCGACGGCTTCGCGTGGGTCCACAAGGTGATAATCTCCGGCGAAGACCCGGAACACGAAGATTGCCGGGCTATGATGATCCACGACATGGTGGATATCCCCTCTTTTTGCTGCCCGGGCCGGGCCGGGTCAGGCTGGACCCGCATTGGCGCCCACACTTGTCCTCCGCTCAATCGCGTTCGGACATACGAGGATATCGTGTACTCAAGCTCGGAGAATCTATTCTTCTGCCTCACGGAGATTGACTGCGACGACTTGGAGGCGTGGGATCTGACAGACCCCACCTTGCCTAGGCTGGTGTGGTGGAACCACAAGGACTTGTTGGGCCCTGAAAACTACATTGCTTGGTTGGATGATGTGGAGAATTTACGTATGTCGAAAACCGGGATTTGGACGAGGCCACTTAGATACTTGGTGTATGCAGAGGATTTGCGGCAGTTGTTTCTTGTCACGCGTCATTTAGTTGAGCAGATGGCTCCGGATGGTTCGTCTGTGGAAGACTTGGATAGAGACGATTACCCGTACAAAACGGTGGCTTTTGATGTGCATAAGATCGACCGGGAAGAAGGTGGAGGAGGGAAGCTGAGCTATGTCGGTGGGTCGTTGGGTGGGCTGTCCATGTTTGTTGGGCATAACCACTCGTTCGCGGTGATGCCTACAAACGGTGGGCTGAAGCCCGATTCCATATACTTCACGGAGGACAGGGAATTCTGCCCCGGAAATTCAAATTTCGGTGAGGATGAGGAAACTATATATGGGGGGCACGATATCGGCATTTATGATTATGAGAAGAAGACCATCTCCCCTTGCTATTACCCGTGCGATGTCGGGAGCTTGAAAAGGATTGTGCCCTCACCTATTTGGTTTACTCCCTCTACACCCTCATAACTAATCACTTTTTAGGATTCTATTTGTTTGTTTAATCTTTTTCTAGTGTCATTTACTAACTAAATGCATGCTACTATGTTTTACAATTCATGACATAGTCAATTCTCCGAGCATCCGAAAGAGAAGTGGTTTTTCCTACCTGATTGAAGTTAAAGTTGCAAACTTGATGCTTGAATCATAACAAGTGCTAGTCTGCGGAAATGTCCTAATACCCATTTTTTTTTTTTTTTCTTTCTTTTTCATCATGTTTTATTATATTTGATTTTTGCGGGAATCGTCTTGAGCTCCATAAGCACTCATATGCTCATTGCAAATATTTAATATGTACGTCTCTTTACTGTCAAATAGTGCACAGTTTATATATTATTGCCCATGTCTGCTGCTTGCTGTTGTGTCGTGACGGGCCACTTAAAAGTTTTAACACAAAGTGATTTTCTTCCAGGTAGGATAAAAAATATATAACTTATGTTTCTTGGTTTTGTGTTTGTTACTGTACTCTTTTGCCTTTGTTGCGGTTTTCTTTCTCAATAATCTCAAAGTTGTGAGATCTCCAAATGGAGAAGTTGCTTGTTTAACCCCCTTTTCACATATACCATGTGCATAAATTTTAGGTACTAAGGGAAGCAGTGCATTGTTGGGCATATTTCCTTCACTTGTACTGTTGTACTTAGCTTTTTGTGAGGGGAAATTGAAATAACTTGTAGTTGGAGCCTTTACATAACTGTATGTATGAGGACATAATACTCATTAGCTAATCATTCTCTTTGGATATTCACCGTTTTTTAAACACAAATTCTTGTGGGTGGACTCGTCATGTGTTATGAGCTAAAATGCATACTTATACTCATACTTTTGTTTAGATTTTTTCTTTAAGTGTGACGTTTTTTAAATTGTCTTAATGAAAAGGTACCTTAAACTTTGGAAATGGCAAATGGACTCGTTAACTGATTAAGTCGATATATAAACGAGCTAAAGTTCAACTCTTTTATCTCAATTAATGAGTCGACGTCGAGTTTTAATGAGTTGAGTTAAGTAATACTTTAAAAAATTACACAAAAACCTTATTTTTCAACACTTAGCGAGTCGCAAGGTTATCTATCAAACGAGCTAAGCCAAATTCAAGACTTAACGAGCATATGAGCAGACGGTTTCGTATAACACTTATATCAACAATCCAAATTCCAGCACTTTTAACTCATCTATTGCACTAGATAATGGTCATAGTTATAATTATTATTGGATCAACACTATGTAAAAAGTTGAATGTACTTGAATTAGTTGTGGACTAAAGGAAGACGTTTCTCTCTCTCTGCGAAAAAAAATAAAAAAATAAAAAAGTAAAATCCCCAAATCCCAGTCTCAAACTCTCGCCACTTTCGCCACCCCCTCTCTTCTGCCGGATTGTATGCTACAACCACTAGGCTAGAGTAGGCCGAGTCACGGCTGGGGTATTCTTTTCTACCCCGATCGGAGCTTTGTGGGTGTCATGGCCGTCGGTTGTTCTCGTCGATTAGCCTTTCTCCCCGGCTCCGGGAGGGGTCGCCGGTCGTCGCGTCCTGCCCTAGCCGTGGGAGTCCACCGCTTTGTACCAGACCGTTGAGCTGGCGAGCTGCACTGCTTCGCGCAACCCTTGGCGATGCCTCTTTGGAGCCTTGTTTTGATCCTATTATAATATTCACTCGTGAGTTGTCGCACATCGTTTATATAGAAAAAATATGTTTAATTTTATAAGTCTAATGGGCTAGTCCTCATTCCACCAATTGGTTTTGGGATGGAACCTCACTTGGGTTTCATCTGGGTTTTTTCCTTTTGGTGCGTTTCATTTGCGTGGGACTGCACTCGTTTTCCCCTCGTTCTTACAGATCCCTCCGGTGACTTTAGCGGCTCCCCCTCTTTTTCCCGTTGTCGACGTCCAGTGGAGTCCAAATCTGATCCGAAAATCGAACTAGGGTTTGAGTGATCGCAATTTTTTGGTTTGGAGTCTAATTGTGTGGCACTGTTGGAATTCTTAGATGTGGTTTGTGACTCGGTTGTCAATATCGATGGTATGTGTGTTGCTTTTTCCTTTGTTTTTGTTTTGTTAATTAAGTCTAGCGACGTCTGACATCCAGTCTCATTCTTAGAGTTTTAGTCTCCTCTATGGAGTCGTGGTTTGGCATTTGTTTTGGTCTCCTTGATGGAGGTTGTATTCCTTGCCGGTATTGTTCCAAGGGGATAGGTCCAAAATTTCTAATTTCTTTAGTATAAGTTGAAAGTTGAAACTCTTTTGAGTTTTTTAGTTTTTAATATAATTGATTTTCGATTAAAAAAACAATATGTAACTGTTACAAAAAGAAAACTAAAAACAAAATTANATGAAGCAAGGAATAAACAGCTATAATAAAAAAGACTGAAGAAATTACACTAATTGATGTTAATTGTTGACCAATGACCATGACTTTAACGCTGGCTGTAATAAAAATAAGGCATCAGAATATCCAACAGGAAACACATCGAAGCTTTTTCCAGTTCATTTATTTATGAGAGGACAATTTTGAAGCTTGATTCATGCACCTAAGGATAATATTTTGTCTTCACATTCAACCCCTTGAGATTTTAATTTATATTCTTTAAATTTACTCCTTTGTTTTTTTGGTCTTCGCATTCACATTAGCTATTAGATAACAATCTTCACACAAAATCACATGAACAATGAAAGATTGATCGATTGATGAAACTTTGAGAAATTTTTCACTTTCATATACTTACTTTCCTCGAGAGATTCGATCCTATCAATGATAAGAGTTTGTTTGACACAAGGATCGAATTTGTCTATATTATCGGGCATCTAGATTATTGTGCTATTGTCCTTGCTATTTTTTTTTTTTAAAAAAAAAAGATGATAATAAAGGTTACTATTAATTCAAGTATTCAAGCCCATATGTACTTGAGAATTAATAGTTTGGTGAGATAACACTTACTAGGAACCCAAAGATATATTCATGGCCTTTTTCACTCGAATATACTCCCTCCATTTTGAAATATAAGGCGTATAAAGATTTCTCATTTTTTTGAAATATAAGGCGCGCTCAAAAATCAAGACAAATTTTTGCATTTTTTTCCAAATATACCCTCATTGTGTTGAAATTAAGGAAGTGTGGAGTGGTTGTGATTAGAGTAAATAAGGTTAATTTAGTCAATTTATTCATTAATTAATGTCTCCTTAATATTTGTGCAATAACCTTAAATGCCTTATATTTCAAAATGGAGGGAGTAGTAATTTATTTAATAAAGTAATATTAGACCAAATGACATTTGATAATCAGAATCAAATAGTGGTTTGAATATTTAAATCATTTGATTGTTCTTCTTATAAAAGATTTGATGATGAAATAATAATGTCATAATGATGTCATGTTGATACAAAAAATAAATAATTCCTCACATTATTGGCTACTGATGATTTACATGGTACAAGAAAGTTGTAGGATTTTTTGTAACTTTTACAATTGAGTTGCTTTTCATAAATAAAGGGGGAAAAAAATGGAGAAAGAAAACTATAGCACATGTTTATTTTTAATTTAACCTAATTTATAAAAATAAAAGTTTACGAGAGGATGATGAAACTTCAATAAAAGACAAATGACAAACAGTGAGTCAGTCAACCTGTGGGAAAAACAGATGCCCCATTTGTTTTTGTGGTATAAAATGTGCATTTTTGTGAAGCTCCTTTTTCTCTACTTGTTAAAAATTGACCCCCAAAATTGCACAACAAGCCAATCTCTGTTCCCAGTTGTTGACCCAACACACTAAAGGCCAAAATCATTTGTGGGCCCCACAATAAAGGTTTTTTAATTATTTAAAATGTGAATAATATATAGTTTTTATATTAAATTTTGTATTATAAAATACAACATGTTATTGTATACCGTAGAAGTTCGACTTTGTGTTAGGAACAATTTCATTTTGATGAGATTTATGTTTTAGTTGAGTGCGTGTTTACAGTTTATTTATTTATATAAATTATTTATTTAATTTATATTGTAAATTCATGTTTTAGTGAAGTGTGTTTGTAGTTTATTTATTTATTTATGCAAACATAATTATTTTATTTAGATTGTAGATAATATGATTCGATAAATATAAATTACTGATTCCTAGACAAAATTGAATTAACTGTCGTGAATGATTATAGTGCAATTTTTAGATTGGTTAAGTTTGATTAATGAATTACTAGTGCGCTTGCAATGTATTGAATGGGCTCGAGGATATGATTATTTTATTTTGACTAATTTCTTTTTAAGAGAAAATCATAAATTTTTATTTGATATATATTGAACATTTAGAAGATGACATAATATATAAAAGGATAAGTATAAGGAGCTAAAGCCTATAGTAAGGTGGAGCTATCAAACTACCATGCAATTTGTTTGGTCGTGTGCGCGTGCGTGGCCCGTGCTAACAACAAACCAAACGAGACAAAATTCCCAAAATACAATATCAACTTTTTTTCTTTTCCCAAATTATAAATATGTGAATAAATAAAATATATTGCAAACTAAAATAAGTTAAAAAGATTTAAAAACTAAGTAAGTTGAATTAACGAGAACTGCGCACTAGACATACAAAAGCGTAAACAATTAAAATTCCACTCAAAAGATTAAAATAATCTAACTAATAGAGATAAGTCATCGCACAATAAATAAATAATAAATAAATAATAACAATGACATAACTCTACATCACAAAAAAAAGTTAAAGAAATAATATTAATAAACATTCTCGACCACTCTGAGTAACATGATTTGTTTTGACAAAATGACATACAATTTCTTAATTCACATCAAGAACACAAACGATTATATTTTTATATTTTTAGCATAAAGTATTAGTTAAAAAATAAATCGACAGTTGAATTTTTATGCTACACCTTGAAGACAATAAGACAATTTTAACAATAAATAATTAAGTTGCGTATTATATGCTCTCATTGACATTATTTTAGTTGGGATCTTGGGTTGATAAAAAGAAGATTTTGCGTATTTAATATTTGATCAGAAAGAAAAAAACGAAACGGCTATTAACGATGTTGCTACTGAAAGTAGGCTGTGATTCCAACATGTTCTTAATTTTACAACATAAGATTATATGGTCCCTGATTATTTAGATAATGTATCTATTTTAATTTCATTTTAATTATTTACATGTTATATGATTTTTTTATTACTCCAATTTATTTAATTCAAATTGCTAATTAAAGAAATGACATGAAAAATATTATTATGTGATCTCATTTTTTCTAATACAATTAAATTTTAAAGTCAATCAATATTATGTATAATTTCAATAAGCTTTTTTATTCATAAGCTCAAGTAACTATCAATGGTATCAATTTATGATATTATATACATATCATATCAATGGGAATCTTTACATATTTGTTCTATATACATCCACAATTCAAAATATACTACCAATAAAACTATTGTTAGACAGACTTAACAATTATACATACATATTATTAAAGATATATGCATACTTTCAAAATGAAATATCATCATACTCTAAAAAATAACATAATAGCAAAAATAACATTTCATAATGTAAATATGCATTTAAGAAAAATATATGATGAATAGACTCGTCTAATCACATGCAAGAATTAGTGATATGTTACACTTCTCCTAAAAATAACATTTATACTTTTTAATCTAATTTTTTTGAGGATGCAGCTTTTTTCAAACAAATTAGATATTTAATACCAAGCCAAGGGTATTTTTGGTAATTAACCCGATAAGGTAATTTATGGGAAAATATATGGATTTAAAAATTTGTCTTGTTGATGGAAAAAGTGAATTTCACCAAGTTCCACTTCGGGTAATGTAAGTACCAAAAGGAAGTGTACAAAATATTTTTCATCT